GTATTCCATTGTGTATATGTGCCACAATTTATTTATCCATTCTTCAGTTGAAGGGCATCTAGGTTGTTTCCAGGTTTTGGCTATTACAAACAATGCTAATATGAACATAGCTGAGCAAGTGCTCTTGTGGTATATATGAAATCTTTTGTACCTATGTCTTAGCCATTTTCTTTTAAAGAGGACAGTAATATTAGATTAAGGGATGACTATATCATAATATCTAATTACTTGTGCCACAACCCCACTTGCAAATAAATTCACATTCTCGGGTACTTAGTATTAGAAATTCAACTCATTTTGTCCTCATTAATATAAAAATACATAATCAAAGGAAAAAATCAATTAGAAAAACCATCCATGTTCAACTATCAATTTATAGTATATATACAATAGAGACAAATTTGTTAAAGTTAATAAAAAATATAAAGGGAAAGTCCCAATAAGGAAACTTACTTGTCAAAACTATCATTACCCATAAAAATCATCAATTGGATGTTTGAATTATGCTTTCTTCATGAGAATTTTGGTGAATAGTACTTATAAATTCACGTGCTTCATATTTCACATAACAAAGTATTTAAAAATACAAAAGTGTTTTATAAGGGATCTCTGGTAGCTATAATTCAGACTTAAAACCATAATATATGTATATGTGATAATGTCTATTTAGATCATAGATAGATAGATAGATAGATAGATAGATAGATAGATAGATAGACCAAAATATGATAAAGCAGGGGGATAGCTAGACAGATAACAAAGAGATAAACAGGAGATTTTACACAAGCAGAATGCCAGCAGAGGCTAATTCCCACAATAGGTTGACCTGTTCAATTGGAACTTCTTCAATCACATCTAAGACAGAAAGAATTTACACCTCTAGGACATCATTTACGCCTCTAGGACCTTAAGTGTTCATGAACTTTCCCAATATTAATAGTAAAATCATTTTCAGAAAGTCATTAGATTATATCAAATATTAGATGGTGAAAATCAGGTTTTATACACTAAAAAGCACAAGTACCCTCAATAGCTTTTGTGGTCACTCTTTTCAACTATATAGGATTCAGAATCATCATGGAAACATTTCCTCTCTCTGCTTTCTGACTCTGGATACAATGTGAACAGCTGGCTGAAGGTCCTGCTACCATGACTTCCTCACTATGATGAACTGTATCCTTTAACTTTGAGCAGAAATAAATCCTTCAGCCTTCTTCAAATTGCTTTGATAATGTATGTCATAGCAGCAAGGTAACTTGTAGCTTGATTTTTTCGCCTTGCCCACAGTCAGGACAAATCTTTGTC